CGCGACACGCGATATCCAATGAGTGTACAACTTTACCGATGTTCTCATTCTAAAGGTATACTCTCATTGGATATCGCGTGTCGCGCACGACAAACATCGCGCTGGTGTACCGGAACCATAAAGGTACAATTTCATGCAGCGAAGCTTCGCTGGCGATGACCCCCCACTCCGACGATTCATGCATAGCCAGCATAGTTAGCGAAGAAACGCTCATAGTTCAACATTGTTCATCTATCAGCGAAGCAACGGTGCCGCACCACGACGCTGTGAAACATAACCTTAACATAGCCTTCTTCTTGGTCTATTCCACATTTATTCCGCCGGCAAAGGATAATAACTTACAAATGGATAACTCAATGAACGTAGACGAAGTATGTATATATAAATATACATATAAATAGTTATAGTTATAGTATTCATAGTATCAAACATTCATATATTAGGTTTCTCTTTATTTCTTTCACTATCTTTTATATATTATATTGAAGATGTTTCATTTTGTAATATTTTATAATATTATATTAACCATACTTATTGTTATTGTATTATTTTAGAATAATTTAAATATTTCGTACACATGCGGCGTATGCGAAACTTTTATTATTGAGGATAATTTGTTGTCTCATACATGCTTCAACGAATACAGTAACGTCTGCATTGATGAAAATTTTTACTGTTATCCTCAGTGTGGTAAAATCTTTACTTACTACTTATTTATTCGAAATTGTCTTACAAATATTTCGCGTCTGCTTATTACCATGGCTTATTACATGGACGTCCTTAATCGAGTTTAATAACATCTGTAGTTAGAAACTGGCCAATCACAGTTGTTCCATTCTTCCGAAGAACAACAATAATTTGCCAATTTCACAATTACGGATATTATTGAACCTGATTAAGGGTGCTGTGTAAAATGTCTCGGTGAATCATTGTTGTATTCAGCTGTAATCATTGTTACTATTATTATTAGAGGATGGAAGTATAGTTCGCAAAAGCCTGATGCCTGATGGTACAGAAGATATAGTCACAACTATACCACATACAGTAAAGGGCGCTGTAAATTCACATAAGTCAGTGGACTTAGAAACGAAGAAGATGGAAATAGAAGAACAGTTAATCGATGAAATCTTCAAACGACCTGGATTGTGGAACTTCAAGCTACCTATAACTGAACGCAGTCCACAAATAAAGAAACAGCTCTGGGAAGAAATATATGAAGCTATGAACGGTAATATTGTTGTTGCTATAGTGTTGTTATAGTGTAAGGTTTTTCTATAAATGTTATTTATGTTACAAAAAAATACTGATTTATCAAATTATGTATTTCCATCTTTTTTTTAGGATCCTTCCCTTCCATCGAGATGATAAAAAGGAAGTGGAAATCATTATCAGATTCTTTTCGGGTGCATTCAAAAAAGAATCAGCAAGCGAGTGGATCTGCAGCGAGTGGAAAAAAACCATGGATACATCTCCAACGTATGCAGTTTTTGAATGATGTTCGGCTAGAAAGCAGGTATGCATCTATAATAATAATGATAGTAATATTGTAATTTTTTTTATATGAATGTATGTACTAATTAATTTTCTTTTCATGACAGAACTGTCAGTAATATCGACACCATGTCAGAATTTGATGATTCACAATCGAATGTTTTTCACGATGACAGCAACAGCTGTAACAATAGCAGCAACAGTCGTAGTACATCAAGTATGTTTATTTTAATAAGATTAATTTGAAGAATATATTTGTATGTCAAAACAAACCATTTTATATTTTACAGGATATGAATATTTTTTTACAGAAAGCAGTAAACGTCGCATGTCTGAAGATAATCCCCTGGATCAAATTGCCAATTCTTTAGAGGCTCCAATATCCTTTAATATTGAGCAAATAGACCAAATTTTGTCTAATCGTATTTCAAATAATATTCCACCAATTATGTTTGATAAACCTGCGTCAATGGGACATTTGGTAACTCTCCTACTTCGTGATATGAACCCGGAATTACTGTGGACGATGTAATGTTCGATATTTTTAAAGTAATAAATGAGGCAAAAAAAAAGAAATAAGTTAAAAGATAAGTGTAGTTAAGATAAGTGCAGTTATTATATAAGATAAGTATAAGATATGTGAGAATAATATAATAATGATAAAATGTATATAATGATATAATATGTGATAATAATATTATAAGATAATTCTAAGATAAGTATAATATAATTATTATATATAATACATTATTTTATTAATAAAAAATTATAACTATATCGAAATATTCTAATTTAAACGAAATATTTTATTACAACTTTTAACTTCCATGATTGTACTGCCATGGCACTGCTCCTTCATTATTAAAATAGCAACAAAATTCATTGCGAATATTGACACATTCTCGGGCACTCATATTACTGCTACAGTTTCCAGAATCTTTGAAAGCACAGCCATCTTCCATAATATTTCTCCAAGATCCTACATTGAATCCACTTGGAGTGCTTGGATTATCGAAGTCAACCATACCGATAGGTACGTATTCGTTAACATTTATGTCATTTATCCGAAGCCAATTATGCAAGCATACGGTTGCCTTTACTATTTCCACAGCAGTTTCAGGATTAGCGATAATTGGTTTTCTGAATACTCGCCACTGGCTGACGAGTATACCAAAGGTATTTTCGATTAACCTTCGTACTCGGCTTAAACGGTAATTAAAGACAGCTTGTTCCATTGTCAGACCTCTGCCTGGGTATGGACGAAGCAAATATGGCTTCAAAGGAAAAGCTTCGTCTCCCACAATACAATATGGTAGAACAAAACTATTTGAAATAGCAGTCGGCTGCGGAACATTCATGTCACCTTTGTCAAAGGCTTTTCCTATGGTGCTGTCTTTAAATATACCTCCATCGCTGCGTCGTCCGTATGCTCCGATATCTACGAAACGGACGATGTAATTCGAATCACAGATGGCCATCAAAACTATACTATGCGTATGCTTATAATTGAAGTACGTTGATCCAGCGTTATTGGGACACTAAAACAGAAAATTGTCACTTCAAATTAAATATAATTTCATTTATCTTATACAGGCCATCGTCTTCTTCCCTGGATACTGTTTTCTTTTAAGGCGTCTGGAGACATTCGAAAGATTTTCTAAAGGTATCCCAAATAATTATCATTAATAATTATCTCGGATATTTTTAGAAAAAATTTTCTTGGATGTCCCCGGATGCATAAAAAAAAATAAGGTGTCCAGAGTAAAAGACGATGGATAATAGCCTTAATTTTATAGAGAATAGGCTACTATATGTACATTTAGCATAATACCTCAATGTACATACTTGGATGATAACGTGCTTGCCATCGATGGCTCCAATGCAGTGTGGAAAATTCCATTTTTCAAAATCGTTGGCTATATCTATCCAGTCTTTTTCTTCTATTTGGCCAGATAGAACTGAAGGCTGCAAACTGTCCCAAATTAGTGTACATGTTTCTTGAATGATATTGCTAACTGTTGTAACTCCCACAAGGTACTGATACGACATCGAAATCATGGAATCACCGGATGCTAAGTACCTACAATATTTCAAAAATAATACTTTGATACAAAATACTGATTTGTGTGGTGATAAATGTATGAAAATGTCATTTTAAAAAATCATGGTTTTTACCATATGGTTTTTTTATATTTATTTTTTAATACGAAGCATTACATTCATAACATATATGAATCAATTCAAATGAAACAAACCTCAATGTCAGTGCTAAGCGTTCGGATGGGGAGATGATTTCCCGAATAACATTTTGCTTCTGCAATTTTGGAGCAAGAATTTGTATTAATAATTCTTCAAACTGAGTTGTGCTCATTCTAAAATAGTTGCGAAAGCGAAGGTCTTCCAATTTCAATTTTGGAACTGAAGCAAAATAAAAACTGTGTTCTTTTCGACTTTGAAAAATGGGTGCTACCCAATATTTTTTCTTCGCATATTGCCGTTTTTTATTCTGTACAGAATGTATCACAGCAGCTGCTGCGGCTATACGTCGTCTTTTTATTTCTTGAGCCGTAGCAATTGTAATTATATATTTAAATTCCTGCACGTATTGATCATCCATTTTTATCTTTTTTAATGTGTCGAGGTTTCATACACTAAAAAAAATCTGGTTATAACTACCAAATATGGAGTGAAATACTTTCAACTACATATTTGTTTATAATTAAATTTCTAATAAATATTACTAAATAGTTTACCGTTTGGTAATACTAAATATTTGTAAAGATAAATATATGTTTCGTTATACTTACCGAACAAGTGAAAATATTTTACTTTATATTTAGTAGCTATAACCACACTTTTTAGTCAAGCCTGATTTATAATGGCCGTAACCGTTAACTTATGTCGGTGCCGGTAAAGTTCAACCATAGGATTTTAATGCTTTCGTTCATACTAACTTGCCGTATTAGTATGAACGGTTACGGCCATTATAAATCAGGCTTCAATGTTTTCAACGACTCCTTATTCGACTTCTTATTCGCGGCACAGTAGTGGGGATAGCTTCGCCAGCGAAACTTCGCTCCATGAAAAGGATACGGGGCTTGAGCGAAGAGCGTTTGAACGCTGGCTTCGTTGTCGGCGGAGTAGGGGGTCATCGCCAGCGAAGCTTCGCTGCATGAAATTGTACCTTAATAGTGGAACATCGCTGGCGAAGCTTCGCCCATGAAAAGGATATGGGGTTTCAGCGAAGAGGGTTGAACGCTGGCCTCGTTGTCGGCGGAGTGGAAGATCTTCGGCAGCGAAGCTTCGCTGCATGAAATTGTACCTTTAAAGCCTTAAACACTATGACTCCATTTACACCGTTAAATCGATTGGTATGCATATCAAGGGTGTGATCCCGATTGATCACGGCTCGATTGGACACCACCAATCACAGCGACCGGTGCTTAGGAGCTTTGTAGTCTCAAGCGCTGTGAGTGGCTTGTGTCCAATTGAGCCGTGTCCAACTGGGTACCACCCCGTGTCAAGTTGGTGGGGTGGCACCCAGTTGAACACGGCTCAATTGGACACGAGCCACTCACAGCGCTTGAGACTACAAAGCTCCTAAGCACCGGTCGCTGTGATTGGTGGTGTCCAATCGAGCCGTGGTCAATCGGGATCACCCCAAGTTGGTGTGGACTAAGCATTTGATACGTCCCTGTTTACACCCACGTCTAAAAACAGGTTAAATTAGGTTTTTGGTTCGGATAAAGTCTCAACTTAACAATTTGTATTAAATAAATGACAAAAAATTGTGAGTGTGTCACGTCAGAAGTCGCGTGTTTATTGTGATTGTTGTCTTTAGACGCAACACGAGTTTTGTGGAACGCGGGCTCGGAGCGGGGCGCGCGGGGCGAAGCCTTAGCTTCTACAGAGGTAATGTTTTCGCTACTGTTTTGCGCGTATTGGGGCAGGCTGCTTTCACCAGTGCCTTACGCGAAGGCACGAAATCTTATTGTTCTGAGATTCGCGAGGAGGCTTTTATTTAGTACGGGTTCCTTCGAGGTCCTTCGGAGAGAAAAATAGTTTGGAGAGTCAGAGGAGTTTTCAGATTGTATAAGCGCCCCCGCGTGCCTTGAGCACTAGTAATTATGGAGACTGCAATCTCTCGAGAGGGCAGCTGTATGTTTGATCATCATATTACTCGCTCTATCTACTCTCTCCGTTCTGGTGGAAGGATCTGGAAGGAGTATAAGTGAGAAACGTGAATTTACTTTTCTAATATTTTAATGTTATAGTTACAGGAATCGATGTTAATTATTTTGAATTTTAGGCTGGTTATTAACCTGGGGCGGGTCGGTATCCTCGCGGGGGTGATATGCGGGGGCGAACGGTCGCCCCCGCAAGTGCGATTCCCGGGACCTGCCTGGAATCAGG